ATCCCATGTCCTCCCCACTTTTCTACCATCCCATGTCCTCCCATTGTTCTACCATCCCATGTCCTCCCATTGTTCTACCATCCCATGTCCTCCCATTGTTCTACCATCCCATGTCCTCCCATTGTCTACCATCCCATGTCCTCCCATTTTCTACATCCCATTTTCCTCCCCTGTCTTCCACTCCCACTGTTACCATCCCCTGTCCTCCCATTGTCTACCATCCCATGTCCTCCCATTGTCTACCATCCCATGTCCTCCATTGTCTACCATCCCATGTCTCCCATGTCTCCACCCATGTCCCCCATTGTCTACCATCCCATGTCCTCCCACTTTTTCTACCATCCCATGTCCTCCCACTGTCTACCATCCCATGTCCTCCCATGTTCTACCAAACCCATGTCCTCCCATTGTCTACCATCCCAGTCCTCCCATTGTCTACCATCCCATTGTCCTCCCATTGTCTACCATCCCATGTCCTCCCACTGTCTACCATCCCATGTCCTACCATGTCTACCATCCATGTCCTCCCATGTCTACCATCCCATGTCCTACCATTGTCTACCATCCATGTCCTCCATTGTTCTACCATCCCATGTCCTCCCATTGTCTACCATCCCATGTCCTCCCATTGTTCTACCATCCCATGTCCTCCCATTGTTCTACCATCCCATGTCCTCCCATTGTCTACCATCCCATGTCCTCCCACTGTCTACCATCCATGTCTCCCCACTGTCTACCATCCCATGTCCCCCATTGTCTACCATCCCATGTCCCCCCATTGTCTACCATCCCATGTCCTCCCATTGTCTTACCATCCCATGTTCCCCTTCCCATGTCCTACCATCCCATGTCCTCCCATTGTCAACCATCCCATGTCCTCCCATTGTCTTACCATCCATGTCCTCCATGTCTACCATCCCATGTCCTCCCATTGTCTACCATCCCATGTCCTCCATTGTCTACCATCCATGTCCTCCCATTGTCTACCATCCCATGTCCTCCATGTCTACCATCCCATGTCCTCCCATTGTCTACCATCCCATGTCCTCCCATTGTCTACCATCCATGTCCTCCACTGTCTACCATCCCATGTCCTCCCATTGTCTACATCCCATGTCCTCCATTGTTCTACCATCCCATGTCCTCCATTGTCTACCATCCCATGTCCTCCCATTGTCTACATCCCATGTCCTCCCAATGTCTACCATCCCATGTACTCCATGTCTACCATCCCATTGTCCTCCCACTGTCTACCATCCCATGTCCTCCCATTGTTCTACCATCCCATGTCCTCCCATGTCTACCATCCCATGTCCTCCATTGTCTACCATCCCATGTCCTCCACTGTCTACATTCCCATGTCCTCCCATGTCTACCATCCCATGTCCTCCACTGTCTACCATCCCATGTCCTCCCACTGTCTACCATCCCATGTCCTCCCACTGTCTACCATCCCATGTCCTCCCACTGTCTACCATCCCATGTCCTCCCACTGTCTACCATCCCATGTCCTCCCACTGTCTACCATCCCATGTCCTCCCACTGTCTACCATCCCATGTCCTCCCATGTCTACAATCAGTCTCCCATTGCTACATCCCAGTCCTATTCCATTGTCTACCATCATGTCCTCCCATGTACATCCATGTCCCCCACTGTCTACCATCCAGGATGCTAAGCCAGATGTTACCATCCCTAAGTGTAATACCATTGTCATAACATGCCATGTCCTCACCATTGTCTACCATCCATGTCCTCATTGGCTACATCCATGTCCTCCATTGTTATACCCTTGGTCTCCCATTGTCTACCATCCCATGTCCTCACTGTGGCTACATCCCTGTCTCCCTACTGTCTACCATCCATGTCTCCCATGTCTACCCAATCCATGTCCCCCACCTGTCTACATCCATGTCCTCACCATGTCTACCATCCATGTCCTCCCCTGTGTTATCCATCCATGGGCCATCCCATTGTCTACCATATGTCCTCCCACTGTCTACTCCCATGTCTCCACGTCAACCATCCCATGTCCTCCCATTAGTCTACAGCAAAGTCCTCCAAATGCACCATCCCATGCCTCCCACGTCTACATCCATGTCCTCCCAACTGTCTAAACCATACCATGTCCCCCCAAATGTTACCATCCCAGGTCTCCATGTCCTACCATCCGCATGTCCTCCAACACCCTGCTACATCCCATGTTCCATTGTCTACCTCCCATGCCTCCCACGTCTACATCCCATGTCTCCCAATGTCTACATCCCGTCCCCCCACTGTCTACCCTCCCAAAGTCCTCCACGTTACATCCCATTCCTCCCATGTTACCATCCCATGTCCCCCCTTCAAAAATCCCATGTCCCCATGTCTACCTCCCTTTTCCCCCCATGTCTCCCCTTTCCTGTCCTCCCCCTGTTACATCCCTGCCTCCCCCTGCTCCCTTCCATGTCCTCCCACTGTCTACCACCCCGTCCTCCCATTTTTCTACCATCCCTGTCCTCCCAGGGCTCCATCCCATCCCCCATTTTTACCACCCATGCCCCCCTGTCTACCATCCCATGTCCTCCCCTGTCTCCATCCCCGCCCCCCATTTTCTACCTCCCATGTCCTCCCCCCTTCACATCCATGTCCCCCCCTTTTTCTACATCCCATGTCCTCCCACTGTTACCACCCATGTTCCCCCCACTGCTACCACCCCTGTCCCCCCACTGTCTACATCCCATGTCCCCCCATGTCTACCATCCCCCGTCCTCCCACGTCTACCACCATGTCCTCCCCCTTTAATCCCCGCCTCCCACTGTCTACCATCCCATGTCCTCCCATGTTACCTTCCCCGTCTCCCCTGTCTACCCTCCCATGTCCTCCCACGTCACCTCCCCGTCCCTCCACTGTCTACCACCCCCTGTCCCCCCATTCTCCATCCCCTTCCCCCCATGCAACCCCCCAGTCCTCCCATGTCTACCATCCCCTGTCCTCCCAGTCTCCATCCAGTCCTCCCATTCTACCATCCCAAAAGTCCCCCCCTGTTTCCTCCCATGCCTCCCACTGTCTACCACCCAAGTCCTCCCACTTTTACCTCCCATTTCCCCCCATGTCCCACCCCCTGTCCTCCCCCTGTCTACCATCCCCTGTCCTCCCACGTCTAATCCCATGTCCCCCCCTGTCTCACCCATGTCCTCCCACTGTCTACCACCCGTCCCCCCCTTTTTTCCATCCCATGCCTCCCTGTTACCATCCCTGCCTCCCACTGTCACATCCCATGTTTTTTTTCCCCCCCCCCCCCCTCCCATTCTTCCCTCCCCTGTCCTCCCACTTCTACCATCCCATGTCCTCCCACTTTACCCCCTCCCATGTCCTCCCTTCTACCACCCATGTCCTACCAGTTTTCCATCCCCTGTCCTCCCATTTCTACCATCCCAGTCCTCCCATGTCTAACCTCCCCGTCCTCCCATGTCCATCCCATGCCCCCCCACTGTTTCTCCCTGTCCTCCCACGTCTACCATCCCATGCCTCCCATGTCTACATCCCATGCCTCCCCCTGTCACCCTCCCATGTCCTCCCAGTCTACCCCCCATGTCCTCCCACTGTCTACCACCCTGCCTCCCGTTACCTCCCATTTTCCCCCATGTTACCTCCAGTCCTCCACTGTTACCACCCATGTCCTCCCCTGCTACTCCCCTGTCCTCCCACTGTCTACATCCCTGTCCCCCCCACTGTCTACCTCCCATTCCCCCATGTCTACCCCTCCATGTCCTCCCACTTCTACCATCCCCCGTCCTCCCACTGTTACCCTCCCATGTCCCCCCACTGTCTACCATCCCCGTCCTCCCCGTCTACCATCCCCTGTCCTCACGTCACAACCCATGTCCCCCTGTCTACATCCATGCCCCCCACTGTCTACCATCCCTGTCCTCCCCTGTTACCATCCCATGTCCTCGCCCACCCCGTCCTCCCCCCTTTCCCCATGTCCTCCCACTGTCACCCCCATCCCATGTCCCCCCCTTCTACCATCCCCTGTCCTCCCACTGTCTACCTCCCCTTCCCCCGTCTACCTCCCTGTTCCCATGTTACCCCGTCCTCCAGTCTACATCCCCTGTCCTCCCCTGCTACATCCCCTTCCCCCCCACTGTCTACCTCCCTGTCCCCCCAGTCTCCTCCCATGTCCTCCCCCTGTCTACCATCCCATGTCCTCCCCCCCGTTACCATCCATGTCCTCCCATGTTTTACCTCCCCTGTCCTCCCATGTCTACCCTCCCCTGTCCCCCCCACTTCTACCCTCCCATGTCTCCCCCTGTCTACCACCTGTCCTCCCCCTGTCTCCATCCCCTTCCTCCCATGTCTACCCTCCCCTGCCCCCCATGTCTACCTCCCATGTCCTCCCATGTCTACCATCCCATGTCCTCCCCCGTTACCTCCCATGTCCTCCCCCTTTCTACCATCCCGCCTCCCATTTTCTACCATCCCATGTCCTCCCACTTTTACCATCCCTGCCTCCCCCTGTCTCCATTCCCATGTCCTCCCCCCTGCTACCATCCCCTGTCTCCCATGTCTACCTCCCATGTTCCCCCTGTCTACCAATCCCCTGTCCCCCCCTGTCTCCCCCCCATGTCTCCCACTGTCTACCCTCCCCTGTCCTCCCCTGACCTATTTCCCCCCCTTTACTCCCTTTTATTTCTAAATATTTTCCCCTTTTACCCTCCCATGTTATGTTTAAAAAAAAGACGAAAGTTAAAGTTAAAGAGTTAAATTTGTTAAAAAAAACCTTAAAGTTACTTTAATAGTCCTCCCATGGTTAATATGTTTTGTTTACCTCCTGTTCCCCCGTTTTTACCATATGTTCCCCTACACCCCGTCTTTTTCCCCCCCCCAAAACCCCCCATTCCCCACGGGCACCACCCAGTCCTCCCCCGTCTACCCCCATGTCCCCCATTTTTCACCATCCCCAGTTCCCACGAAATCCCCTTTCCCCATTTAAAAAAATAAATTTTCCCTTTCTTCACAGGTAAAAAAAAGTGTGCATGTGAGAAGAGAAAGAGGAGGAAGGAAGGAAGGAAGGAAGGAGTAAGAAGAGGAAGAGGCTAAAGAGAGAGAGAGTATATAAGATAATAAAGTGGAGAGAAAGTGACCTTGGAAAATAAGTGGTGACTGTGATGAGAGTTTAAGAAAGTCCTCTGTGGATTGAGTTGAGATTGTGGTGAGTGGTGGTGGTGGTAGCTGGTGGTGGTAGCTTGTGGTGGTGCTGGTGATGCTAGCACTTGTGGTAATGGTGGTGGTGTTCCCATGAACTGAGGGAACACATCCTGTGCTCACCACACACACACACACACACACACACACAGTCACACACAGTCACACACACACACACAGACCTCGCCTCTGTGGCTGTAATGCCACCATGGAGTACAAAGCGACCCAATTGTCCACTCTTAAACTCCCCAACGACTTTACCAATGGCAAAATCAACAGCAGCAGCAACAGCAGTAACAGCAGTAATGCTTTCCCTAGAGTGCTGTCAGCTAAGGAAAGTGGAAAAAGAGAGCAGCACCAACAACAGCACCACCACTACAAATCGGTGTTGGAGAAGCACCACCACAAACAGGTGTTGGAGAAGCACCACCACAAACAGGTGTTGGAGAAGCACCACCACAAACAGGTGTTGGAGAAGCACCACCACAAACAGGTGCTGGAGAGGATCCACCACAAGCAGGTGTTGGAGAGGACTCACTACAAGCAGGCCCTGGAGAGGCCTTACCACAAGCAGGTGTTGGATAACTCCCACCACAAGCAAGTGCTGGAGAGGACTCACCACAAGATTTATATAACAAATCGAGTTCATGAAAGCGCCAGTCGACCCCAAGACTCCAGTGGAGTCCAAGACTCCAGTGGAGCCAAAGACTCCATTGGAGCTCAAGACTTCAGTGGAGCTCAGGAAGTCACCAGTGGAGCTCAGGAAGGCGTCATGTTTGGCTCACAGACAGTGGACATCAACTCAGCAACACCGTACTCAGACGCCACACAGGTATGTAGGAGAGACGGTAATAATAATAATAATAATAATAATAATAATAATAATAATAATAATGATGATAGATGATGGAGTAACTACCTAGATGTTTCTCATTATGTTTCTTAAACCATTCTAACCCTTCTCTCCCTCGTATTTATACAACATTCCCATTCCCTCATAATTCTCAATCATTCTCGCTATTTATTCCGTCTACCAATCATTCCCACTCATGCATTCTCACATACCTATTTATCCTCACTCTTTTTGATTATAATAATTATAATATTTATCCTCACTCCTAAATATTTATTCTCACTCACAACTAGTCATTCACAGATATTCCCGCTCACTACCATCCCCACTCACAACCATCCCCACTCACAACCATCCCCAATCACAACCATCCCCAATCACAACCATCCTCACTCACAACCATCCTCACTCACAATCATTCCCACTCACAACCATCCCCACTCACAACCATCCTCACTCACAATCATCCCCACTCACAACCATCCCCAATCACAATCATCCCCACTCACAACCATCCTCACTCACAATCATTCCCACTCACAACCATCCCCACTCACAAACATCCTCAATCACAACCATCCCCACAATCACAACATCCCCACTCACAACCATCCTCACTCACAATCATTCCCACTCACAACCAACCATCCCCACTCACAAACATCCTCAATCACAACCATCCACAATCACAACCATCCCCACTCACAACCATCCCCACTCACAACCATCCTCTCTCACAACCATCCCCACTTACAACCATCCCCACTCACAACCATTCCCACTCACAACCATCCTCCACTACAACCATCCCCACTTACAACCATCCCACTCACAACCATCCCCACTCACAACCATCCTCACTCACAATCATTCCCACTACAACCATCCCCACTCACAAACATCCTCAATCACAACCATCCACAATCACAACCATCCCCACTCACAACCATCCCCACTCACAACCATCCTCTCTCACAACCATCCCCACTCACAACCATCCCACTCACAACCATCCCCACTCACAACCATCCCCACTCACACCATCCCCACTCACAACCATCCTCTCTCACAACCATCCCCACTCACAACCATCCCCACTCACAACCATCCCCACTCACAACCATCCCCACTCACAACCATCCCCACTCACAACCATCCCCACTCACAACCATCCCCACTCACAACCATCCCCACTCACAACCATCCCCACTCACAACCATCCCCACTCACAACCATCCCCACTCACAACCATCCCCACTCACAACCATCCCCACTCACAACCATCCCCACTCACAACCATTCATTCCGTGGCGTCAATGGATCAGAAATTGTGAGGCAAGATATCACAATAATCAATCAGTCAATCAATCCACTCCTCTTCCACTCTGTTTTGCTTTCTCCCTCTTCAACTTCCTTCTTACTCCTTCCTTTCCATCTACCTCGCAACCTTTCCTCTTCATCATTCTTCTGCTTCCTCTTACGCTTCCTTCTCAACATTCTTGACCTTCCTTCTTTACACTTTCTTTCCTCTAATTCAATCCCTATTCTCTTTTTCTCAGTCACTACATTAAATCTGTCAACTACTCAGGAACCAGGACTCGACCACCGCTAACACAAACAGGTGTATACACACATACACACACTCAGATGAGTCAATGGGATGTTAGGAAGTATTTATTTAGTCATAGAGTTGTCAGGAAGTGCAAGTCTGGCAAATGACGTAGTGGAGGCTGGAACCATACACAAATTTAAAACGAGGTTCCATGAAATTCATGAACCAGGAGAGAGGACCTAGTAGCGATCAGTGAAGAGGCGGGGCCAGGAGCTATGACTCCTGCAACCCCAAATAGGTGAGTACACATACACACACGCGCGCGCGCTTGAGTCCTCAAGGCGATGGGTCCGGATAACCTCTCTCCATGGGTCCTGAGAGACGGAGCAGAGGCGCTGTGTGTACCACTAACAACAATCTTCAACACATCTGTTGAAAGGGCGACTACCTGAGGTATGGAAGACAGAAGATGTAGTCCCAATTTTTAAACAAGAGACAGACACGAAGCATTAAACTACAGACCAGTGTCACTGACATGTATAATATGCAAAGTCATGGAGAAGATTATCAGGAGAAGTGTGGTGGAGCACCCACAAAGGAATGAGCTTATCAACGACAGCCAGCACAGTTTCAGAGATGGGAAATCCTGTGTCACAAACCTACTGGAGTTCTATGACAGGGTAACAGCAGTAAGACAAGAGAGAGAGGGGTGGGTAGATTGCGTTTTCTTGGACTATAAGAAGGTGTTTGACACAGTTCCACACGAGATTAGTGCAAAAGCTGGAGGACCAAGCAGGGACAACAGGGAAGGCACTGCTATGGATCAGGGAATACCTGTCGGAAGACAACACCGAGTCATGGTACGTGGCGAGGTGTCAGAGTGGGCACCTGTGGCGAGCGGGGTTCCACAGGGATCAGTCATAGGACCGGTGCTGTTTCTGGTATTTGTGAACGACATAACGGAAGGAATAGACTCAGAAGTGTCCCTGTTTGCAGATAATGTGAATTTGATGAGAAGAATTCAATCGGACGAGGACTAGGCAGAGCTACAAAGGGATCTGGACAGGCTGCAGGCCTGGTCCAGCAACTGGCTCCTGGAATTCAACCCCACCGAGTGCAAAGTCATGTAGATTGGGGAAGGGCAAAGACGACCGCAAACGGAGTATTGTCTAGAGGGTCAGAGACTACAAACCTCACTCAAGGAAAAATATCTTGGGGTTAGTATAACACCAGGCACATCTGAAGCGCACATCAACCAAATAACTGCTGCAGCATATGGGCGCCTAGCAAACCTCAGAACAGCATTCCGACATCTCAATAAGGAATCGTTCAGGACCCTGTACACCCTGTACGTTAGGCCTATATTGGAGTATGCGGCACCAGTTTGGAACCCACACCTAGCCAAGCACGTAAGGAAATTAGAGAAAGTGAAAAGGCTTGCAACAAGACTAGTCCCAGAGCTAAGAGGTATGTCCTACGAGGAGAGGTTAAGGGAAATCAACCTGACGACACTGGAGGACAGGAGAGATAGGGGAGGGGGATATGATAACGACATATAAAATCCTGAGGGGAATCGATAAGGTGGACAGAGACAGGATGTTCCAGAGATGGGACACAGCAACAAAGGGACACAGTTAAAAGCTGAAGACACAGATGAATCACAGGGATGTTAGGAAGTATTTATTTAGTCACAGAGTTGTCAGGAAGTGGAATAGTCTGGGAAGTGATGTAGTGGAGGCAGGGTCCATACATAGCTTTAGGAAGAGGTATGATAAAGCTCATGGAGAAGGAAGAGTGATCTAGTAGCGACCAGTGAGGAGTCGGGGCCAGGAGCTGTGGCTCGACCCTTGAAATCACAACTAGGTGAGTACAATGGCCAGGAGTGGAGACTTGACCCATGCAAGTACGTATAGATGAGTACACACAAACAAACAAAAAAATGGCCAGAAGCCGAGATTCGACCCCCTGCAAGTACATTTAGGAGAGTCAACACACTAAATAGAACATACTACTCTGGACACGCAGGAAATGTTAATTATTATAATTAATAGTCCCAGAAATACCAGTCAGGGGAAAGTAATAGCTGAGAGAGAGAGCGAGAGAGAGAGAGAGAGAGAGAGAGAGAGAGAGAGAGAGAGAGAGAGAGAGAGAGAGAGAGAGAGAGAGAGAGAGAGAGAGAGAGAGAGAGAGAACAAGAACACATTCCTCACCGGCAATATGTGACAAAGCCTACAGATCAGCCTTGGTTTGGCTTTCGTTGTAGAGAGGCTGCTACTGCTAAGTACAAAGCATGGCGAAGGTATAAGAGACATCCTACTACCTATAACAGGAACTTGCACATGCAAGCCTGTAGGCATATGGGTGATGTTCAAAAGTGGGCCATTGCTAAATGGGAGGTGGACACTAAAAGAAAGTTAGCATCAGGTAGGGTAGGCTCCAAAACCTGGTGGTCCCTGGTCAAGGACAGACAAGGTTATCTGCCTGATGAACTTATTCCACCTCTAAATCGACAGGATGGGACCACCTCTACTAGTAGTCAAGAGAAGGCAGACCTCTTTGCTGAACACTTTGCTACCAAAATGCAAATTCCTGATCCAGCAAGGGACCCTCCTTGGCTAGCTGCAAGAACTGTGTCAAAACTGTCAGTGGTGACAATAAGGCAGGAGGAGGTGCATTTCCTTCTTAAATCACTTGACCAAGAAAAGGCTGTGGGCCCAGACAAGTTGAGCCCAAGATTGTTGAGAAGATGTGCAGACCAGCTAGCAGCACCTCTAACTCGCATCTTTCAGCACTGCCTAGTACAGTGTAAATGGCCCTCTCTATGGAAAGAGGCAAATGTAGTCCCTATACACAAAAGAAGAGCAGAGCAGAAATCAGCACTACAGACCAGTGTCACTCCTGTCAATCACTGGTAAGATCCTTGAGACAATAATCTCAAGACAAATGACAGATTTTTTTGACTACCACTCACTACTTTGTGATCGTCAATATGGCTTCAGGAAAGGTTACTTGCTGCTGATCTGTTGTTAAACCTCTCCACTAAGTGGCACCAGTCACTGGATGAATCCAAGTCAGCTGTGTGGTAGCACTGGACATTGCTGGCGCTTTCGACCGGGTGTGGCACCAGGGCCTCTTAGCAAAACTTCAAGCACTGGGAATTACAGGCTCTACGCTATGTTCCTCAGTGATTACCTTCATGGTAGATCTCTAAGTGTAGTTCTCAATGGAACGGAATCAGCAAGACTCCTTTTGGGGCAAGTTTTTCAAAAGGGAAAAGCGTGTGGGTCCTTTGTTATGGAATGTTACTTCAACGACCTTTTATCTCATCCAAAAAATCACAGATATGCAGACGACTTACACTGACTTCATTATCCAAGGAAGAAAGGGGCCCCCCCTTCAAAGCCTTTCATCCACTAACTTTTCACGGGGGGAAATAGTTGGAAAGTAAATTTGCACCGGAAAAGCAAATGATGATGTCTTAGGCACCATGATGGTAATGTGGGCGTAGTAAGGATGGGAAGGGGGAGGATGTTGGCCCCTGGAAAAGAAGTTATTCTTGGGGTGAAAATTTGACTCCAAACTAACCAGAAAACCCATGTTGTAAAATCTTGAAAACCAAGGCGCAGGAAAGTTACAGCACTTCGGTATCTCCATTGCTTGACATAGGGGTTGCAAGTCTGTACGAGGCCAAGTACGTCACCTTTGGTAGCTCCCTTTCTTGGTTTGCCTCCCCCCCCCTTCATCTGCGATGCTTGACAGAGTAGAGAACAGGCAAGACGTCTCATCTCTGCCCGGACCCTCCCGGATAGATCTGTATTTCGCGAGCCTTAACATGGAGGGATGTGGGTGGCCTTATGTTTGTAAAGGCCCCAAAAATTTTCAAAAAAACCACACTTGGTCACTTCGGGAAGCGTGAAAAAAGTTTTATGCCAAAAGAGGGCAGAAAACGAATTCACGGCGTCCCCTTTTCCAGAACATCCTCCATTGGATCTACATACCCCGGATGACT